AGTATAACTTAATATGTGTTCATTTAATGATACAATTCACAAGTAGAGGTCAATAGTGTTTAAGCATGTAATAGCAGCTACATTATTTTTCTGTAAATGTGTACAACCACAGCATGATTAATTTTTTTATGGAAGTATGTAAATATCTCGACATAGTGTGATTGGCAAGGAGGCGTGTTAAAAAAAATAAGATATGCATGCCAATCACAATATTTACTTAATGTTAGTTGGCAACAGTAGTGTTGTTGTCGTGTTGTCCTTATATGGTGTGCATTACTGTGGTTGCTCGTTTCCATGTAACCAAATATTCCCAATATATTTGATTGTTCAACCCAGACTATGTCATTTATTTAACCCAGGAATAATTTAAATTTTAAAAGTACTGTGATGAATATTTTGAGAAATCCTATTCTGTTGGTCTTAATGCCTCTAACTTCGATGCAAAGATTTTTGCCATGGGAAAAGCAATTTAAATCTTCTTGGACTTGATACTAACTTTAACAAGACAGCTATATTTGTTGACTCCCAGGCTGTAATTATGGCAGCTGTCTTCTATATACGTAGTAATTACTTTCTTGTTGAAGAGACTGAGATAAATATATCCAAAGCAATTGCCTCTGGCTAGGAGCAGTGTTGCCAGATCGTGCGATTTTTCGAAAATTTGCGACTTTTGACAAACTTATGCTACTAAAATTTTAGCATTTGCAATTTTGCAAAATTTTTGCGACCTCCATCATTTCCTTGCGCTACTTTTGCGACTTCAATGAATTTTTTTTCTTTAATATATCGTAAAATGCTTATATGTTAAAATAATGTATCAATTAAAAATAATTTACATTAAAATAAAAGTTTGCTTATGCTTAAGTGGAAGTTCGCATCTGGCAGTCCTGTTACATGTTGGCTACCCTTTCAATTCTTCACAGCCTCATGAAGGTATAATGAAAAGGGGGGGGGGAAGAAAAAAAAACTGCTTCAGGACTTCTCACCTTTGCCCCTCGCCCCCCCCAATTTCCCCTGCGTTTTGTTTTTAAGTCAGTTTACCCTTCTCGTTCTATGGTGCTAACGAATCGAACAAAAGAACTTACAACTTGAGGACCCAAACAGAGAAAGAAATAAAAGATATATTGGGGTGCAAATAGAGAAAGAAATGAAATTCATTCCCTTGATTATAATACTGCTAAGAACTAAGCAATGGAAATGATTTAAATATCAAACAAACAGCACTTTTCTAAATAACAACACAAATAAATTTAACAGTGAAAGAACACGGCTTTCTTTAGTAATCAGAATCTGAAAGTCCACCAGGCAGGATGGAAAACTTACTGAAAAACGTTCCTCAGTTAAAATGTTCACAATTAAACAAAATAAATAAATAAACAAAAAAAAAAAAAAAAAAAAAAAAGAATTAAAAAAATTAACTGCCAACTTAAAAAATTAAGTACAAAAGCGCTAACAATCTAAACGTGAGGTATCTCTTAAGAATGGATATGCACAAATTAATTTAAAAGTAGAACTTAAATTAAATGAGAATTAATTTTAAAAAAATGGATTTTTACTCAATTGAAATCAAGCAGTATAGTTTTAAAATATTTATTAAAGAAAAGATATGCAATTAAAGCAACTAAGTATCGAATACTGTCTATAACTTATGGAACCAATAGACAGTAAATTTCTGATAATGTCAGAGGTCAGGTAAACATGCATAACTATCAAATCGCAAAAAGTCACGTGATCTGACATGATTTGCGATTTTTTTAGTCTTCTTTTGCTACTTTAGTTGAACATTTTCTGGCAACACTGGCTGGGAGCTTGTTTTTCAATGCATTCACCAGCCACTGTGGGGTGCCTGGAAATGAAAAAGGCCAAACTTTTGGCTAAAAATGGCTGTAAGCTACCTCAGCCACATTTTCCTCTATCCAACCATCAGTTTAGTTCTAAGGTAAAGAAGAAAGTGGACCAACTCTTAAAACAAAAGTATAAACTCCTTTCAACTGCTAAAGTGTGAAATATTCTTGTATTTTTGACTATCCCAATGGACATGCCCCATGCAGTTTTTACGGTAAATTTTCAACTTTCGACGGGCCATGACTTTCTATATAAATACATTGGTAGTTGCTTATGATGTCTGTCCTCTTTGTCTGTGAGATGAAACCATAGACTTTCTTTATTTGACAACTTGAACTACACTTGATTTGACTTTTAGGTTTGACAACTTTACCAAAGCTAAATTTTATTGGGCTGCCACAAGTCCCATTGCAGATATCATTACAGACTGACATGGTGGGGGGTGACCATGCCATCTCACTGAGGATGTAAAGGTTGCTTTTGTCGATGCTCAGTAGCTTGCAGAGTTCTTTAATCACAGCCGAGGTAAAATTTCTTTTTTTTTTATCAAGAATTCATGATAAAGGGTCGATATCAAAGAAACTGTAAAGCTGAGAGTGCCAAAAGTGAAAACCTGCAAAAATACAATGAAATGATTGAAGATGGCAGGCACATACTCACAGAGGGAAGTTTGCCCCCTGTTAATGAGACAATTACACATTCACCGGTAACTCTGCTCCCAGAAAGCGATGCTGATTCTCCTAAAAAAGAACCAAAGGGCACACCGCTGTTCCTGCCCAATACGGGTGAATGAACTACCTCGTCTTTCAATAGACAAGACTAAAAATTCTCAATGAAGAGAAAGTAACGACTTGAAATCGCCTGCTTACTTAACATGTTTAAACTCCTAAAGTTTTCCCATAGAAAGCAATTATCTGATAGAAAATGGACAGCTACTTAAAGAACTGGAAAATGGTTGAAACCATTGGCCATTCCCGAAGCAGTTCAAGAAATAAACCTAGTTACATGTGGAACTTTGCCCACAACACCTAAGGACAAAAAAAAAAAAAAAAAGATATAAAGACCACACTTTGTTTACCCTTCAAGTATCTGGAAGCTTTTCTAGTAGAGGATATCAATTCCATTATGATAGTGGATGTGATACTAAACCTTTTTGCCAGAATGGGATTTTCTAAAGAAATTCAGTACTATCAAGGAACATTAGTTATGTCAGTTTTGACCTCGTACAAACCAGTCAAATTCTCTGTCCATTCGACAGTGCCCGGTAAATTTAGGAGTGGGTTGTCAGAAACCAACTTTTAATCCTTGGCACTTAACCCAGTATAGTGTAAATATTTATGTTTTATATTAAATTTTCTGGCTGACTTTATGTGTCTCTAGCAGTGGTAATTAAGAAAGAGATGTTGGACATCTACAACAAACGTTCCCCTCTCTCCGTTTTTGTTTCCATAAATTGGTTTTCAATGACATTTCTTTCATCGCACGCGCAATTGAGAAAAACCAAGTTATCTCTGCTGCAGTACAGTATGTTAATTATGTAATAGCATATTTTAAAGAGGGGTGGAGAAACTCATCTTGGAAATTTACTGAAATCTGGAAGTACATCTAAGATTTGCACCTCAGCACCACCAGTTAAAAAAAAAGAAAAATAATAGAAGTAATAAAAAAAATAATACAATTTAAAAAAAATCCGCACGGTCTCGGAATGGAGAATGTAATAACAAAAGGCGAGTGTAATATAAATGGGATTTTCATCCGGATTAATTGAGAATCTTGCATGTCACTTTCTGACACCTGTTGACTAGGGAGACACACCATGATCAATAACAATGTATTGATTGATGTTGTACTGAAGATGGCTTGGAATACACTTTTGGCTCTTGAGTGCTTATGGAGGGGGTCAGGGTTAGCACTACATTGGAAGGTAATTCTCCGGCTTTCCTTGCATGCCTTTATGGCGTTGTGGTTCTGCACACTGGGTCGGTATTCCAGAGGTCCGCGGTTCGATTCTCAGAGAAGGCATTTGTAAATTTTTCATCTCTCCGGGTGTTCAAAAAATCCTAATGTCTCTACAGTGGTGCCCAAACTAAAAAGGTTGTAAATGATGACTCTCCACACCCAGGATTTGGCGACTGGATCCCCAGTCACCCTTTAAAAGAGAGAAGTATGTAAGGTATTTCTCCCACTTTCTTGGCGTACCTTCATGGTGTACTGGTTCTGCACACTGGGCCGGTATTTCAGAGTTCCGTGGTTTAATTCCCGGCGAAGGCGCTGCTAATTTTTCATTTCTCCAGCTTCCAAAAATTGCCCAATGTATCTACAACACATTTTGCTGCTTGGTACAATACTGCTGCCTGGTATCTCCCTAAATTTTATTGCCCGAGCTTCTACAAAACTCTAAAAATTCTCCCATTCTAATTTTTGCTGCTTGGTACTCCTCTAAATTCTAAAGTATTTGCCACCCTAAATTCTGATACCCAGTGTGACCACACTGGTTTTACCTGGTGTGGTGCCAGCCCTATCGGAGTAGGATTTTTCTAGTTTACTGTCTGATATAAACAATAAATGAAACTAAAATGTTACTATGTCAGCATATACTTTTACAAATGACCTTAAAAAAAAAACAATGACCTAAAATCTAAACCAATGACCTAAAATCTGGAAATTTCTGAATTATGGAATTACCAAAGTCTGATGACTCCAAATCACGGACTTTGTACTGATTGTGCTGAACAATACTAAGATATAGGCTGAAAATTATTTTACAGCTCTTTTCACATTTTCTCCATATTTGCTTCAACACGAGTTAGAAAACTACAAATTTACATTAAAATTATTTTTATATTAAATAAATAAAAGTTTAATTTTACAATCCAGTTGGCAAAAATTTGTTTTTATTTTGAATTAGTGTACTAAGCACTTAATTTAATCTCCATTGGCATAGGTCAGATATAGCAGGAAGCTGTTTTTAGCTACCCTTATGTATAGCAGTCATTAATTATACCCGTTAATATAATGTTTTTTTTTGTACTGAGACTTTTCTAAATGATATCATTAGAAAACGAGAGAGATTAATGTACTGTGTCTGATTTTCAAAGACAGACAAATAATTTGAATTCAACCAAAAAGCATTAAACATTATGATAAAAATATACCTCAGATCTTGAACAATTTAAACCCTGTATTAATCTTTTAGGATGTTCTTTTGGAGGCTTTGATACATTTCCTTTTATTTTCAGCCAATTACTAACATAAAAAGAATCACCAAATGGTACCTAAACAAAAAAATTAAAAATTATTTTCAGAATTCTCTGAAATTCAAATTTAAATGCAAATAAAGTTATTATAACAGATTAAAAATATATAAAAAATTTCAGCAATAAAAAATGAATCACACTCCTCATTCCTTATCTAGCTTAAGTGTTTAGATGATGAAAGATATATCACACATGAATAAACATTCTACGTAGCTCAAAACTGCATTCATATCTTAAGACCAATAAATGGTGTCTCGTAAGGTCTATAATTTTACAACAGCGTCATCTTAAGTCATGCAATGCATGCTTATAAGTTTAAACCTGATAAAAAATAATTTTTTGTTTAACTCTATCATAATAAATCCTTATTAACTACTTTTAATTTGTAACTACATACTGAATCATTGATTTTAGAGTCAGGTATTGAAAATGAAACGAGTTGCCCGCTTTCAGTTTATATGCCCTCATCGTAAAAGGATCGGTGCTTGCTGAACAACATCAGCATTAGTCAATGAAATATTTACAGTGTGCAAAGCATGTCTCCCTTCCTCCTACAAAGACAATTCTCCATCCAGTTATGCTCTGGCATGTTCATTATTTACCATTGAATTTACTACTGTTTTTCAATATGCTAGTTGCGATATTTGCATTGTACTACACATTTAATTTAAGGTTCAATTACTACTACTTTCAAGATTAAGGGCAATAACTTTTCTATAAATATGAAGCAAAATAAATAATTCAAGATAATTATCTGGTTAGTAGTGATGTTAAAAAAAGATTTTTCTCTTGGTTTCTTTTCAGTTGTTTAGTACAGATAGAATAATTGCTTGAAGTAAAGATGAAATAATCAAATTCACCTCTTAAGTGACCAAATAATTCAATGCATGACAACTACCCCATGGGCATGTTTTTCTTGAGGACTTCATTCCCTTACTGACTGAATAGCATCAGCATTGGGAAATTTCCCAATGCATGTGCATTTCAAGTTCATTTAAAAAACATTTCAGGAATGGCTGAAAATGAAACAGAGGGTGTGATACAAGATCTAGTTAAAAAGCCATTTACCCTTCTACCTTTCTTTGTGAAAAAGAGAGATAATCAAAAACCATAGACCTTGTTTATGTCGTAAGCATGAGGATAAAAAACACAAATTTGTAAGACATTTCCAAGCTGCTCATTACAAGAAAATTAGTTGGCTCTGTTGTTAAAGAATTGTTGTTCTGCTGGCTCTGTCTGCTCTTTGGTGCTGACAAGTGCGTGGACTAAGGATGGATTTAGCAATTTTAACGTATTATCAATATCCATCTCAAAATCCATCACATGAAAAATCTTTTGGTCATATTAAAACAAGTTTACAACTTTCCACATTTGGGCGATCAAAAATAGATCTCCAATTAAATTAACATAAGCATATATCTGGTTGTAAGGAAAGTTTCCGCCAAAAAACATTTTTAATAAAGTTTAAAAAGACATGAAAAGCAGTACCTTTAGTCCGAGTAATAATCACCACCCAAATCTTTCGCATCTCTGTTAATAATAAAATTTTTAGTACTTTTCCATTTTGCCAGCACAGGTGATAAAGTCGCCAATAATGGTGCAACTGATACCAAATGGAATATCCTCCCTGGTAACCTTTTACTCCTCATTTTCAAAACAAGTCGCAGCCATTTCTTATCAGATTGATTGTTTCTTTCAATACTGGCATACAATTACATAGAATTTTTACCAGATATTTCAACTTTATGCCCTAAGGCCTTTTGCAGGCGGTAATTAAGTCAATTATGATGCAATCACACTGCTCACCCGATGGCGAAAATATAGAAAAGGCAAAGTCAAGGGTTAAATTCATCAATTCTAATGAGAATGCACTAGCGAAGTAAAGTACTGCAGTTTTACATAATTTCTGAGTAAGCTATTTGTACGAATTGAAATAATTCTTGCATTTAAACTTTGTATTCAATATTAAGATTTAACTTGAAATTAATATGTAGATAATTACTGATAGAATTAGATTTTTGTTAGCGTAGGTTTACGTGAGATGAGATCTCACTTGGGATCATGTGATATGAACCAGTGAATCAGGATACTGTACGATGAAAGCATCGTAAATTCTTAAATTAATGTCTTTTTACAAATTTATTGTCTTTATTTATTGGCTTTTTTACAAAATTTTAAACAACATTTGTTTTTAAATTAATGATATAAATGTGGATTAACATAAAAAACAATTAACTTTAGGATATTTTAAAGAATATAATAAATGAAGTATTTAACTTACAATTATTTTGCGCATCTCTGGCAGATTGAACACATATGCTCCATACAAATACTGATATTGTATTTCTCGCATAGAAACCATGTCTTTCTGTCTTTGTTTTTAGGGTTCTCAGCGCATATTCTGTAAATTTTTTTTTATCTTTTTAGATGGTGGTTCCATATTGAAATCTCCTGAAATTATTTTTTCGGTACAACTCTGATATACGCCCTAATTTCACCAAATGTGGCGATATGTGTTCTGCGCTGGTTTTTGGCACGATTGCGTGTTGTATGGCAACCCTGTTGACGTTGAAAAGTCTTTCGCTGGAGTTCATTGGTTCCCGTCATGCTTTGTGTCTGAGAAGCTAGGGGGAAAAGATTTAATGGTGAAAGTTGTTGAATTGAAGTTCGGCATAAGGAAATATCGTCGTGGTCATCCTGTTGAGGGGCAATGGGTATTTGGAGGTGTGGAAAGAAGGTATGGAAGATTTTTTTTAGTGGTTGTGCGTGATAGAAGTAGGGATTTGTGATTATTTGTTATTTTATTTATTTGTGAACCATAGTATGAATTTTCTGGATAGTGTGTCTGGCTGTCATATAAATACGATACTAGTGATTACGTGGCGGCATGTTAAAGGCGGTATGAAATGTATATCTGTTCTTCGAAAAAGCATTAATGGTAAGTGCATTTTATTTTATTCTTGTTCTTATTTTGTAGAATGTTATTTTTCATTGTTTTTTTAGTATGAATTTCTGTCGTTCATTCGTTGTTTTTTTTGAATAAATTTCAAAAAATTTATTTTAGTTATCTTGTTGACTAGTGCGTACCATCTGAATTGTGCAATTCGTAGATGTTTTTTAAAGTTGAAACAGAACGCTGTGTACATGGTATTCTTTGAAATTTATTGTTGTTATGTTAATTTATTAAAGTGAGGTGCGCATAGTTCGTAAATTCGTTTGTTGCCTAAATTGTGCAATTTGTAGATGTTTTTTTTAAGTTGAAACAGGATGCTGTGTACATGGTATTCTTTGAAATTTATTGTTATGTTAATTTAGTAAAGCGAGGTGTGCGTAGTTCGTAAATTCGTTCGTTGCCTAGATTGCGCCATTCGTAGATGTTTTTTTAAATTAAAACATATCGCTCTGTACATGGACTAAACTTTAAATTAAAACATATCGCTGTGTACATGGTAAAATAATTTTGGTTAGAAACTTCACGGTTTTGCTATCTAAATTTTTTGTTTTTGTTTCGGATTTTTAGCTTAAATTGTGTGTTCAAAACGTGGTTTTTGCATTCGCGAAAACCGTGTTTTTGGAGACATTTTAGGCTTAAAGTTCGAAATGTAGACAAAAATTTAGATAGCAATATGGCAGCGTGGAGTTTCTCGCCAAAAATATTTGGTGAGAAATTTGGCGCCTTGAGGGTGCATATCAGAGTAGTTCCATTTTTTCTTTTAGCTTCAAAGGGAGCATGATTTGCTACCGCCGTTGATTTAAGTGATATTCCACTAACTTCAATCTTACTGATTTGAGAAAGGAACGCCTGTTTCTAAACTGAGTTGGTGGTTCTTTTGTAGAAAGTAAGGTAAAATCCTAGGAGAGCCCACACCCTTGGTGAGAAACTGGGAAAGTGCAGAATCACCCACTGCCTTACCCACAATGATGTGGAGGTAATTAATTGCAAAGGTACTCCGTAATCCAAATGCCTTGGTCCCACTGCTTCGCATGTTTCTGAAAATTGAAAACTTGAAAATAACAAGTCAAAGAATTGCAGAAACTCGGTATCCATTTACACATCAACCTATTTTCACTTAAAAAAAAATCCAGAATTACACAAATTTGGCACTGCACACTCCCTTGACTTTGTCTATGTACACATTGATACACGCCAAGGGTGTAGGCTCTGCTAAGGATCCAACCTAAAGTAAGATTATTCATGCCTTGATTGCTGCAAAATTTAAAATTGAGGAAAAAATCACCACAGGCCATCATTTCGATACTCTAGCTGTAGAATATGCTGCTCCTCCCATTTCATCTAAAACATCTACTGCTCCTTTGGTTAGATTATAAAATGAAATAATCTCCGCCTTTTTTAGTTCTACAGTGGTTTGGTCAATTTTACTATCATTGTGCATAGTTGATAGTAGAACAACACTTGTTTTTCCTTAATGTATAAGAAACAAGCGTTGTTTCTTTCTGGAAACCAAAAATTGAAGAATATGCTTCCCGCTTCTTCATTAGAAAATCCTGCGGAATTTCTCTCAATCTCAACACTCTTGGAATCAACCAGTGCAAATAATTTTATGCTATATTTGGCAGGTTTTTTGGGATGTATTTCTTAAATGAACATCGTCCCCTGAATGGTTCTAGTTTTTCATCAATTAGTCTTTCTCACAGTTTCAACTACAGTCAAAAGTCGTTAATTCGGACACCCATAATCTGGAATGATCTATAAGCCGGACCTCAAGGCTAAAAACTTTCTGCACATGCACACAGGCGTTTACGCGTGCGCATAAGACCTTTTACGACTGCGCATATGCGTGTGCGCAAGCGCGGAATACGTTTTCGCGTGCATGTTTTATGTATAACGGACGGTACAAGCTAAAATTATCTAATTATCTATTTCAGTTAATGTTGATGATTGCGTTGTTCCTTAATTTTCGAATTGGATCCGGGTTATTATTTTTTGCAGACTGCAAGAGCAATTACTATAAAAAGTAAACTTGAACTTTCGATTATGTCAAATAAAAGTTTCCGATTCTGGAGCTCCCGAAGGATCGTACAAAGTGAAAGCATATTTCGATGTCCATCAAACAAAATGGTGGAATTGCTGCAAAAAATGGATAAAGAGCATGAAGAAATGTGACAGAGAAGGTTAGTGAAAATGAAAAAATTTCGATTGATAAGTTAGTCGGTATTCTCGGCACAGCAATTAACAGACTTGAACAGCAGAACTTTGTAACTGAACAGGAAATTATGTCTGTTTATTAGAATTAAAGAGAAAGTATTATCACATAAAACGAAGCAACTTAAACAACTTACATTGAAAGAAATGTTTAATAAAGTAAACAAATAAATATGAAGCTTTTTTTTTTTTGTAAATTTTGATACCCTTTAGATCATAATTGTTCTTTATTTCATAAATTACGGTTTCATATTTTTAATTTTAGAATTTCTGCATGCCATCTTACGAGATTTAAACTGATGATCTATAATCTGGAAAAATCGATAATCCGGAATCGCCGAAGTCCCGACGAGTCCGGATTAACGACTTTTGACTGTAGTTATTTTCTTCCTTAGTAGGTCCTGAGATAGCTGGTATCCCATATACAGTACAAAGTCTGTAATCCGGACGTCAGTTATCTGGAATGATCTATAATCTAGAGCCGCAAACACTTTTTTTGGAGTATGCTCTACGCATGCGCGTAATGCATTTACGCATGCACGTAGGGAGGATGTGTCCTCCAGATACGTTAAAAAATGCTTGGCATAATTTATGGCCAGCTGCCATATTTCATTGTGAGGACGAAGAAGATGATAGCTGCAATTTTGAAGGTTTTCAGACATCGCAAACTAAAGGTGAAATTTTCCAATTATTGGATTTTGTAAAGAAATGTGGAGAAGCGGTAATAAATGAAGATAATATAACAGAAGTTTTTCATTGCGAGGACAATGCCCCAATCATCAATCAATTAACGGACGGCGAAATCCGTAGTATGGTTTTAGATCCAGAAAATACTGCTTCCAATAGGTGGAACTTTGTAACTGAACATTAAATTATGTCTGTTTATAGAATTAAAGAGAAAGTATTAGCACAAAAAACGAAGCAACTTAAACAACTTACTTTGAAAGAAATGTTTAATAAAGTAAACAAATAAATATTAAGCTTTTTGTAAATTTTGATACTCTTTAGTTCATAATTTCTCTTTATTTCATAAATTACAGTTTCATATTTTTAATTGTATAATTTCTGCATGCCATCTTAGAAAATTTAAATTGACGGTCTATAATACGGAAAAACCCCTAATAAAAAATCGCGACAAGTCTGGATTACGGACTTTGTACTGCACCAATTATCTACAGTGAAATTCCATCCAGAATGGCACAATGGTTCCATCAAGCCCTTTACAACAGAACTTGCATTATTATCAAACAGAAATGGCCCCCTCTGGCTGCTGGCAGGAGTATATTTCCATTTTCCATGTATAAAACACTCTGGAATCAACCAGTGCAAATATTTTTATGCTACATTTGGCAGGTTTTTATGGGATGTATTTCTTAAATGAACATCGTCCCCTGAATGGTTCTAATTTTTCATCAATTGTTACTTCAAAAAACTGTCTTATGGGAGCGAGTTTGTTCACATCTCTTCTACTTGGACAATCTCGGAATCATCAAACCAAAGGCATCTTAATAGGAAAAAGAATCACTTGCAGGACATTGCTTTGTGAAAAATATCCATTCCAGTTCCATCTGTTGCCCACAGATCTTTCACATTAACATGAGAGGATTTGTGAATACCACATGTATACAAAAGTCCTAAAAGTGCTTTGATTTCACATTCATCTGTTTTCTTTGCATCACGCTCATGTACAAATCATTCCTAAATGGAATAAATGTAAATATTTGTACATTGAACTATTATTTCTATCATGTCTTTGTCAATGAGCAGAGACCAGGAATCCAATGGTGTTGATGCATTTTTCAAATAATCAGTATTTACTGGAATTTTGAAGATAATGTTTTTAGAACTAGTCCTAACATTCATTCAGAATTTGTTTTTCTTCCATATCAGGCCATACATAATTCTCATCATTTGATTGATTTTCTAATTCACTATCTAATTCAGTGTCTGTTGATGAATTATGATTACTGTTGTATTCTCCGTCTATTAATTCTTCCTCCTTTTCCTTTAAAAGATTCATCATCTGTTGAAATAGTTTCTAGCATATTTCTGAACCTTTTAATTTCTTTATCATAACTTACATGCCACTGCCATGCTGGCTTACTAAGAAACATCACATCTGAGATCTGAGAGATGCGAGAAGGTGCACGGGTATCACATACTCAAACGGTACAATTCCTAGAAAAGTATTTGAAGAATTACTCCACGGACTTCCCAGCTTCAAGAATGTGACCTTGAATACAACTACTAAAGGTTTCGCCCATTTCCAGGAAAGGGATTTGGAGATAAGGGACAAAGAATCTGTCCCTGAGTATGAGATACCCAGCGGGCGTGCTCGCGGGTTAACAGGGAAATATTCATAATATAATTCAGACAAAATATAATCCATGTTTCTCTCTCTGTCCCATGATACATCTTGAACCGTGGTAGAAAAAATTATGGCTATATGCTCGGTGTTTCCAGACTTTTGATACCTGAAGATGAATACCACTGCATATACTATGTCCATTTGTCTGCAAATTTAAATTTAACACCACAATGTTATTCTTTCTGTTATTTCAGTTTTGAGGGTTAATACACATGATTTTATAGTCGGTTTCTTTCTTTTTAAATAATCCTACAGTATCCAGAATTAAGGAATAATAATTTCTTTTTCTCTTTACATCATTTCAGCTGACAAAAAGTTTCATGCAAACACTCAAGTTTTATAAAAGGATGAAATCATCAATTAATAAAATAAGACATTTCAGGTGCAAAATCTGAAACAGAAACAATTATTTCATAAGATTTTTTATTCCTGTTTGCAATTACTTTATTTAGTCGTAATTTTCTGATTTCCTATCTAAAATGCATTTACATTATTGAAATTTACTACAGTATTAAAATAAAATATTTTATCACACATACAAATATAAATATTAAAATTTAATATTTTGATACACATACAAACTTTAAAAAAAAAAAAAAAAAAAAAAAACCGGACGCGTACCCCATTTTGTGCCATTCCAAAGGGACCTGGATTCATACCTAAGAAGAGAACACTTTTTGTTGAAGTACAATAATTCCTAACATAACACTCATGTGGTTCCTTTGCATAATCTAGAGGATTATAAATGTAACAAACACTTTCCCCATATCTAAGTTTAGATAATTGGCTGCACTGTAGCTTTTCTAATTCAAGCAACATATCAGCAATATTTTCAGAAGAAAGGGACATACTTTAAGACTCAATAGTCCATTACACTTTAAAGACTCAGTAACCATTAATTCAAAATGTAACACGCGCTCTCTCTTAAAATAAACAGAAACCACAAGAATAGTTTCTGTTTACGTTATTACTGAAGATCACATTAAAAATTCGATTAATGCTAAGAGTTTTGGGATAGGTTTTATTGTATACTACAATAAGAAAATATTTCTTTTTTATTTTTGTATTATTAAAAATTCATAATTCTGACTAATTGTTCCTAGGTGTGTCAAGGCCAATGGGAAAGTAGCAAGCAGCATTATCTGTAACCGTATAGGTTGAGATTTTGGCTCATTGCCAATGTACGTGTTATATGTAATGTTTACAAGAAAAGAGTAGTCAGTGCGTAATACGTACGTAGTACAAAATATCCTGATGAATGAATATGAGAACAAATGTAATTAAGGAGTACTAATACTGTTTAGATGTGAAGTTTCATTTGGATCATTACTCATTTTCTCTGTTTTGCATCAAATGTCAGCTGACATCATTCTTGTTTGTGAGTAGCATAGTTTACAATTAGGTTAATGTTTGATGCATAACTTAGCTGAGTATCGTCATATCGTAAAAGTTCATTCTTATTGGTTCGCTTTATGATACTAAAATCTCTTGGCAGTTTTAAGTTTCAGCTAATCAGTTTACAGTTATTTTAATTCTGTAATTTAATATTTTCTTAGTACTATAATCTGAAATATTTGTTTTGAAACCATTATTCACGACATTCAAACAAAACATATTTATATAATTATTTTGTTTGGCTAGACTGGAGATCGTGTATGCAGATTAATGTATTACAATGAAAGTATTCAAATCTGTTTAATAAATACTAGAATTTCTACTTGATTTAATGTCTGACTTTTGTATAAAATACATGCTAGCTAATGAAATTAGAACTTATTGTAAAATGCAAAAGTTATTAATATGTAACTTACTTATACAGTGGGTTTATAATTTTATCTAGTCATTTGTCTGAAATTAATTGCTATCATCATGTTGTATATCTTAAACCATGTAAATGTAACTTCGGTCCACTGACATGCTGCATTTTTCACCAGTGGAGTAAATATGAAGAAAAGTTATAATCCTCTCTAAGTAACTGTGTACAGATAGTGGGTACTTTTCTTTAGGCACATTCTATGCATTTTGGCAGTACTACAGTACTATTGTAATGTGTGTGTATGTGTACTTATTAATGGTGACACATACTTGCAGAGTTCTCAAATGGTTACAGGATTTATCATATTTTGAATACGAAGACTAATGATGAGTGCAATAATAGTTAATATATTCTGAAGCATAGAGACTAATGATATGAATTTAAGTTCCATTAGATTTTGCACAGAGAATCCTGGAAATCTATACACATAATTATTTTCACATAAGTGCAAAATTTAAAACAATATGTACAAATGGACCTTATTTAAATAGCTTGCATATTTTTAGCAAATATGACAGCTTACAGCATGTAAATGTGCGGCTTTACATAAAATTTTCAAAGGGTAGTACTGGTATTCTCGTAACAGGTGACTCATCACCCGTGAACCATGACCAAAACCAAAGAAATTGGTAATAGTGTCATATTAAACCACTTGAAAAGCAGCAGTATATGAAGAATTTATACATGCTTGATTTTATTACGTTACCAGAAGTTTTATGGTCTGCTGTAGCCACCTTGGTGACAGAAGGCAGCTTTGGGTTTGGGTTTAAAAAAACATGATTTATTGCCAAAAGTTATAAACAGCCATGAAAATGAAATTGATTTAAGTAAATGATTAATTAACAGTTCATTCAATATCTGTATAAAAATGTTATCTTATATATAGAGAGAATGATTTTAATATAAAATTGTATTTATTATGCTATTTAATAAAATTTTGTCGGTAATTTATTTAAAAGAATAGCATAATTCAACAGAACTTATCCAATATATTGTTACATTATTTTCTTCGCTCATGTTTGCACGGGGTTCGTTTGGATTTGGAGTCACTAATGACGACAGTACTGCATGAAGTATCAAAACACACTTTATATACCAATATCGATCAGGACAGCTCCAAAACACTTTTACAGTTGTCGAAGATCTACTATAAACACGCTGGAAGAATCAGCAACTCAGCCTTCACACTGTCAGGCAATAACGGTGGAGACAGCTTCACTGCAAAGCACCAGAGGACAGCACCCGACTGCTCAGTCATTCTCGGAACTCCATGTACTCTCTAGACTCTCCACGCTACAACTCGCGATGCACTCGACGACACACAGAGCACAGATCCCGACTCTTCAGTTCAGTCGTTCCCGGAGCTTAACACACTCTCTTGACGATGCACTAACCGCGATACACTAAGACTCTCTTCGATGTACTCAACGACCCACTCGGCACTCGCTGCCCAGCTGTCAATTCGATCGACTCTGCACTGACTGACTAACTAACTACTTCGCACTCTAAACTCTGCGTACCAGCAGGGTTTATATAGTTTTTGGCTTGTGTTCGAGAACATTCTGGGCTAAACCGGTAAGAATTTGTTCCAGAAGATTCTACATCTGTCCATCGCCTATCGTCAATTTTGTCGCCAAATGGGGCAACCCTGCCTTCCGTTGCCATCAACCCTAAACCTGCTTTGTGGAGAAGCCATCTTACCAATCATGGACATTTTGTAACAATATATATTTAATACTGCATTTAATACCATTATGCAAACACTTTTATTTAACATAACAACATATGTAAACATGCTGAAAAAATCAATTTATTATTAAACATAATGGAAAATTCTATTTGGTATTTTACTTAATGTGATTTTGTTAGCAATTTATTGTAAAAAAATCTTTATAAACATATAAAAAAAATCATTTTTTACAGACTCTTTCTGATAGCCACAGTCCCGCAATGGCTGCTAATAATGCAAATATCAACTTTTTTAATGATGGAAGATAGAAAATAGTAAGCATATTGAGCATTTTACAATGAAAAACTGTTAAATTGACTCAAGGTATTCCCCCCCCCCCCAAAAAAAAAAGCTAAATTGCTAACTGTTTATTTCTCGCATCTGCTCCATTTGTTTCTTACCATTGCTGAAAAGCATCAAACTTACAATTTGCTAGTGGCTTGCAAAAGACAAGTACCGGATTATTAAATAAAGTTATAGAACATTAGCAGAAGATAGCACTGATGTGTGCTTGGAGAGATTGTATTATATTCTTTTATAACTATCATTGTACTTTAAACATGTTAAAAAAGCAGTTCAAGCAATCCTGTTTGATATCTGCCAATTGGAGCAGTATTATTTCACATTTGTCGACAGTCATAATTTACTATGATAATCAGATATAAAACGACATTGATAGCCAGCCTCATTTTTCATTTACACAAATGCTGTCGTAGTGTCTTTCAACTTGACCAAAAATTTGTCCTCATTGTTGACAGATTGCCATCACAATTCAGCAAAGTGGCAGAACAGCATCATGTGATTTATACTTATAATCAAAAGCAAATACAAAGTAGATGGCCTAGTAGATCACCTGTTGCAAGAACACTGTTACCAATTACATACGTCAAGGTCTTGGACCCCACTGGATTTTTTGTGCTCTGAAACATTGATTTGCTTATAATACTTACACACTGGATGAATCAAAGCCTGTAATTGAATGATATGTATGTACAAAATTTTTGGGTGGTGTTATATACTAGAAAAGTATTCAGGAAGAAAAATTGGCATATAAAAATGTCTGGAGACATATGAAAGTCACTTTTGCTATCTATTATGAAGGGTGGTAATCTCTCTTATTATTGTATTAAATGCACAGTGACATTTTTAGTACTTTTCCTGTTAACAGAGATCCTGCCAAAGTTGTGCCAATCGTTCTATTAGATTCTGATAAAATTGACACCTCTTTTTTAATAAACAATTAGTATTTGATGAGCTTAATTTTTTATTTTATAAGAAGATTTTCATTCCTTTCTTTTAATTTGTTCGACCTTCTGATTTTAATGGATACTTTGTGTAGAATGCTATGAATACAAACTTTCTGCAACTAATTGTTTCAGTTTATTAATATTGTGTCAGCTGCATTTAGCTGACCATATTTAATTTATTAATATACATTTTTTTTATGGCAGGATCCATGACTTTGAAAGTAATCCAAGTGACGATTAATTTCAAAGTCTTGTTGTTCTGTAGAAGGCAGATCTGAAATGTTAGTAATTTTTATCAATATGCAAGAAAAAAATGTAGCAATTAATTTATATATTCTCCTTCATAAAAACAAAATGTGGCCTTGGTAATTGGTGGGTTATCAAGAATCACTTTGGGACAACATAAACTGAAAACATTGATGTTATGAGTATGTTGTTACATCATGCTTATCTATGATTGGCACTAAATAACGTTGCTTGATGACTGTTTCATGCTTGATGGGCAATATGATCAGCTAAATGTGGCCCACAGAACAGTAGAAGATTGGAACAGTTACTTGTGGGACATTTGTACCCATAACATTCTAAGCAGAGCTTTTGGTAAAATTAGAAGGCCTTACAAAATAGTAGAAATCAGCAAAAGCCTTTTTATGGAGCTGGCTGAATAATGATTGTTTGTTAAATAAAGAGGTATCAGTTTTTCAAAATTCCAGAGGAGTTGTCTGGTAAATTTGGCAGTATCCTTGCCAACATGGCTCGATGGTAGCCAACTTTCAATTTTTTTTTTTTTTTTTTCAATGGCAGATTGTGAACAATTACAAATGTAACCCAGTCCATTAATCTATACAAGGCCAGATGTGGTGGTCTCTTTATTATGAAGGCATTTAATAGGTGGGCCACCATCGCCTTTCCTATGAAGGGATGGACAGTTACAACCACGCCTTCTCCAGGATTCGAACCCAGGCCCTTCGGTATCGCAGTCAGCTTCCCTGACCACTATACCAACTGGGTGGCGCCAACTTTCAAAGTAGATGGGATAATATTTAAGTACCCTAATTGTGTTGCTTTATCATTAAAAAAAAAAATAATTTCCATGTTTGTTAATGAAGAATGTTTTCTCATATGAAATAACGTTTGATGAAGATTTATGGAAACTATACCAATCTAATTTTTATTTTTCTTTATAGGTTGCATTTCATTTTCAGCCATTGAAAATATGATTCCTTAACTCCTCAGCAATGACAATCTGTTTTGCACTAACTCTAGTCTTAGTTTATTCGATTATGTGCCTTTCGATACAAGGTAATTATAAGCCATTTCTTAAATATTTAGCTACTGTAATAGGGCTTATTTATTTATTTTTTGTTAAAGAATAATGAGACATGAAAATAAATTGATTTTAAAACTACTCGCTAATGGAGTAAAGAGTGTAGAAAATAATTGCACTTTGAAATTAAATTAATCCCTAGATTAGTTTTTGGTGCTATGATTAGTTTTTAGTACTATAATTAGTTTTTAGTGCGCTTTTTTTAAAATCTTAAACATCATCAAAGATGTCACAGAATTTAAATATAAATAAAACCCTATTGTTATTAATGAGGTAAAAATATTTTGGTACTTACGAAAAGTCCAGTCGACCACAAGAGACGGTGCCAGCCGTGCCAAACCAACCAAAAAAAAATCCATTACTAAACAAAAAAAAAAAAAAAAAAAAAAAAAAATCTATTCTTATTTTTCTTTCAAATTTATTATACTATCATTTATTTATGTTTAATTTTTCAATAAAAATATCCATTATTGGTTGATCTTTGGATTATGGTAACTTGGTGATTTTTTGGCGAAAATTTGGCGACCAACTCTGCTACAGCAACCCTCTACTTTTTTTTTTTTTCCGCCATTTTGTCTTCACGAAGTAAAGACATATTTCTTTTCTTTTTATTTACTCAACACTTTTTCCAACAATCTACTAGCCGAATTACACTTATGATAGAAATTTTATGTAACAAAACTGTTTAATCATGACAAATATTAAATGCAAAATTGGGAAAAAGTGCACAATCGCAAACTCCTTGCGCGTTTTTCAGAATAGCACATACACATAAACCATTTACACGTCGACTTATTTTTACTTAAAAAACATCCCAGAATTGCACAAAAAAAGGCATTGCACACACACTCTTATATCTTTATCCTCTACACTGCTATTTTCTCATAAATTACAAAAATTTGCACGAAAATGCAGGAAAATTTTCTTAATCTTTAAACTCGGTAAAAAGCACATATATGAAATTACCTGATTGCGAAAAAGTATATACCCTTTCCAAGGATGAACTTTTCCATGTATAAAATAAATAAAATATCCAAAAGCTCTAAATTATCTATTATATTGTAAACGTCACCAACGAATTTATACGCAAACATTAAAAATAGTTACAAATACTTAGTGTCAAATATTTAAATTATTTCCATGCACGTTTACTTCAACTGAAACATATACCAAATTCCTACAAACATAAAATTCACAAAATAACTATCATTTAATTAAAATATCACTAAACCATGTACACATCGACTTATTTTTACCTAAAAAACATCTCAGAATTTCACAAAAATGACATTGCACACACTCTTCACTATATCCATGTACACTGCTTTTTTGTCATAAATTGGAAAAATTTCACGAAAATGCATGAAAATTTTGTGAATCTTTAAAGCCGGTAAAAAGAACATATATGAAATTACCTGATCGCGAAAAAGTATATACCCTTTCCAAGAATGAACATTTCCAAGTATAAAATAAATAAAATATCCAAAAACTTTTACCTCTAAATTATCTATTATATTATAAACGTCAGCAAGGAATTTATACGCAAACATTAAAAATAGTTACAAATACTTAGTGTCAAATATTTAAATTATTTCCATACACGTTTACTTCAACTGAAACGTATCCCAAATTCCTACAAACATAAAATTCACAAAATAACTATCTTTAATTAAAATAAAATATCACTAAACCATGTACACGTCAACTTATTTTTACTTAAAAAAAATCTCAGAAATGCACAAAAATGGCATTGCGCACACTCTTCACTATATCCATGTACACTGCTTTTTTCTCATAAATTAGAAAAATTTCACGAAAATGCATGAAAATACTCAACGTATACTACTCAAACGTATTCCAAAATACTACAAACATATAACTCACAAAATCACGATCATTAAATTGAAATATAATTAAATTAAAAAACGCTACTTAAAATATAAATAAGCACATACATTAAATTAATAAAAATTAGATTACAATCCTAATTACTTTAAACTAAATCATTGCTAATAACAATTTTGCAATAATACCATCTTAATTTATTTACTCCTTACATTTAGAACAATGCATAAAAATAATATCCTCAAATGATTAAAAATACTAACTTACCTAATCTTCTTCAGAATCTTCATTACGTGGCACGCACACTTCAATACAGAAAGAGTTCCAATCGGCTGCAGTACTACTGCTAATTTCTAAATCTGAAATCCAGTAGTCAACTTATTATTAATTATTACGTATTAAAAATTTAGAATTCACTTTACATGGCGCCATGCAATCCGAAAATTAATCAACACTATTTCACACAACACACAATGAAGCTTAACACAAAATAATTTTTCCAAATTTACCACCTTTTCCGATTAAAGAATTGTAATTCGTCCATTAATGTCACATGACATATCTCATGATCTCACATTTCCCTCACACAAAATAATGCGTAATCGGAACTGAGTGCTTCTCACATTATTACCAAAGTCCTAGGTCGCCTCCAAAATGTCGCCAAACTACCTGTTACCATATTCCAAAGATCAGCCCCATTATTTTATAGTTAAGGGGATATATTGTAAAAGCACTTATTTTAACTATGTTTTAATTTTTGCGGTAAATATGTCTTACAAAATACTTTTTTTCGCCTCATAAAATAATAAAAAATCAGAAATTTGTCACTTACCAAATTTTGCAAAATCACCTATATCTTCATTTTTGCGAAAATTACAGCTTGCGAAAATAAGTGCTTTTACAGTACTCGCTCAGATTTATTGTGGTACACAAAAATTCATAATTTCAGTTGAAATAGCAACAAATACAGTACAAAGTCTTTAATCCGGACCCGTCAGGACTTCGGCGATTCTGGATTAGGTTTTTTTCCGGTTTATAGATCAATTTAAATCTGTTAAGATGGCATGCAGAAATTATAAAATTAAAAATATGAAACCGTAATTTATGAAATAAAGAGCAATTATGATCTAAAGGGTATCAAAATTTACAAAAAAAAAAAAAAAAAAAAAAAAAAAAGCTTAGGATTTATTTGTTTACTTTATTAAACATTTTTTTCCACACGCGCATGTGTAAAGCATACATTACGCATAGTCGAAATTAGAAAATTGCAACCAGAAAACTGTTTGATGTGTATTCGTGATATTTATAGTGATGAGGAATTTGATTTAAATCATATCAAAGACAGAATACATACTACATACGGAGTACATACACATGAAATACTACATTTAGTAAGGAATTATAAGCCGAATAAAATAAAAAGATCTGCTCTGAAGATGAGGATAGTGCTGACAGATGAACTTCCAGTTCTTTGTGTGCTGCAACGTTCCCCCCCCTCGCAGAGCAGTGTGATATTGATAAACAGATTTCAGAATGGTTAGAGAAACAAAGGATATGCCTTTATCCATTTTTTGCAGCAATTCCACTTTTTGTTTGATGGACATCGAAACATGCTTTCGCATTGTAGATCCTTTGGCAGCTCCAGAATCGGAAACTCTTTTTGACATAATCGAAAGTTCAAGCTTAATTTTTATAAAATTGCTCTAACTGTCAGCAAAAAATAATAAGCTGGCTTCAATTAGAAGATTAAGGAACAATGCAATCTGCAACATTAACTGAATAGATAATTTTAGCCTAGCTTATACCGCTCGTTATATATTAAATGCGAGTGTGTAAACGTATTATGAGCATGTGTAAGGTACTATGCACATGCGTAAATGCATTATATGTTTACGCATGCACAGAAAGTTTGTAGCTTTGAGGTCCGGATTAAGGACTTTGTAGTGTATATATTCATCCTTGTGAAGCCAACGCCACATAAATTCATCCATACATGAATCTAAATGATGGCACGCGGTCCTATGTTGTCTATTTTTGGCGAAAAATCATGTAGTGTGCCATCTTTTCTTTAATAGGCAAAAATGGTCGATGGGAATTTCTGTAAGTACCAATATTTTTGTTTAACTGGTTTTGAGATGAATTATATATACTGACAAAAATTCATGACTGCAAATAACTATTAATTTTCTTTAAGCTTTGACTTCAGCTATGAAAGTCAGAAACAATTGAAATTACATTTCTGCAAATACCTTGAATTATATCAGGAAAGTTTAAGATAAATTGCATTTCCCCCCTCTTCTTTTAGCCTAAAGGAGCAATTTGGCCAGAAGAATATTAATTTCGTTTTGGCATTTTGCTTCGAAAACGTTAAATGTCCATTTCACTTTTCAAATTGTTGCGACAAAATATTATCGCCCTGTATTGAAAGAAATTAAATAATGAAGAATCTGCATAAATGTGTGTATGTTTCTTGCACTGTGATAAAACACTGGTTCCTAGAGCCATCAAATTTTGAATAACATAGTCCTCCACCTAAATAGGAGCACCTGCATCAACAAATTTTAAAACGTTTAAAAATAATATAGCAATTGTATTCTCACATTCTAATATTCTGCTGTCTTCAATTAAAGGAAAAAAAAATTATTTAGTGTTATCATCATTTTATACAAAGATCACTACATATCACACACTAAAAAATGGGCAGTGTATTAAACAATTAAAACATGTTTATCTCTATTTCTTTTTCCCAAACCTACATTAATCCATCTATCCATCAACCTTCAGAAGAAATTTTTGCGCATTCAGACTTACTACAAATATCCTGAATTTAATGTGTTCAATTAGTTAACACCTTTCCTGCTATTTGCAAAGTCTGATTTGTTTCATTCTTTCGGATTTGTGCATCTGCAGAGAATGCATATACAGTGAGCATGGAATAATAATAACAGCTTTAATATGATATGTTTTCTTCAAGAATTCATTTCTTGAAAGCCTGTGCACAAATTCATCATATAACAGTGTCACAAGAAATGCAGTCTGTTAGTAACACAAAGAAAATGCACTACGTTAAGAGTAATAGTTTTTTTCAGTGCTGGTATTAAAATGTAAACAAACAGTGTGAAGGCATTTCCAGGCATATTGGAAATTATATCATCTTAAGGCATATCCAATCATGAGGACAAATTTTTCCCTTATATCCACTGCACGGCGTGCAGTGTTTATATGCAGTCTTGATTGTGGCCTTTATACTGTAGCTATATTAAATTTTTTTAAGATTAAAATATACTTATAACTTACCATTAAATAATTTTCTGATATTTCAAAAACTAAGATGTCTATATTTAATCATTTATCATCAAGTTGGCAATCTTAACAAGCTTTATCAACAGTATACTGAATTCTAAGAATTAATCCATCAACCCTTGTGAAATTAAGGATAATATCTTTTGATATTTAGGATATTTTGATTTTTAAAGTTGGTATTTAAGGTTATATATGTTAGATTAAAAAAAATGTTGGATAGCTATTGTAGTTATTGGAAATTGTTGTTATAGTTTATAGATAATGATAGACTTGATGTATTTAGATCATGTTGAGAAACCTTATGGCATCGATTGTAAAGTTGATCAACAGTTTCATTCTGCATACATAACACCTTTAATAGAGCAGGAAACTGAAGTAACTGGATGTCAATCAAGTGACACTTCATCTGGATTGCAGGTGATGAAGATTTAATGATATATCATTATGTTAAATTTAAATAAGGATGTATTTCTTTTCTTTTCTTTTTTTTTTCATTAAACATATTCAGAATGTAGATGGAAGAGGAAGAAAGCTTTAATCAATTAGAGTAATCTTGCATGAACTTTTATAAGTATATCAAATTACTGTACCATTTAAAATATTGTACATAAAGTGTCTATAGTTAATACTCAGAATTGCTACTACATAAAATTTTATATGAATCTTAAAACAATAACAATCATGAATTTCTTTCATTCATTACATTATTATTTTCTATTCATTACATTACATAATTAGAAATTATTTTAAGAATAGTATTTATTTCAGTATCATATTGTATGTTATTGTATTTTTACAATTTGGAAATTATAACCTGAATGGTAACATAAACTAAACCTGGCTATATGCTAAAAGTGACAGAATGAAAAAAAAAAAAAAAAAAAAAAGTTCAGGGAAAAAATAAGAATATTTGTGCAACAGCAACAAAAACAAAAACAAACAAACAAAAAAAAAAAAAATATTGTGGAACAGATTGTTACAACTATCTGCTTTCAGCATGAGAAAGCAAATATATATATACATATATAAGTGAAATGTAACAAGCTCAGAGTCAATCCTTGAACTTAACATGCTAAAAATCTGGTAGATTTAATAGGAACTAAATAAAACGAATGAATATTTTATAATCTTTTTTCAGAATCATCAAAACTTAATAATTGTGAATTAACTTCTCATTAATTGCCTACTTATATACATATATCTTTTCAGGGTAATTCAGTTTAATGCAAATACTGTTTGAATCATTGATTTTATGTATTTATATATTTTCATGAAGCCAGAAACAAAAATATAAAGGAAAAAAATAAAAAATTAAATTACATTCAGCTGTCTTTCTGTCTACCTGTGGTGCTGAATGAAAACTGAACTCCTTCTATATTGTTATATTGCAAGAAAGAGCTGGATGATTGATCTGGCCAAATTACTTCAATAAATACCTACGTTGAAAAGTAATGAAATAATAATTCAGATTTCAGGATGGAAAGGGGAAATAATCAAATTAAAATACAGAGTTAATAGATTATGGCGAATTAAAGTTGGAATTTTGTCTATTTTTTATTTTGCACGTATATTTAATGAGGTGGTAGTAGAATTTTGGTGCAGCTTTGTTAGAGTTTTATTTTCTAGCACAGCTTCTTTGAGTACTGATGATATTTAAAAAATTAGAACAGTTTATAGCAGCGTGTAGCAAAACATTTAACAGGTGAGAAAGCAGAAAGCATAAAATCTATGTTTCTTTAGTGGTCAGAAAAATGGGGGAGGGGGGGAACCTTATAAAAATGGAGAGCTTCTAAAGGGAGATTACTCTGCTTCTTAACAAGTTTTGGTCTAAATCAAAAAGATATAAGATTTCATTGTTAGTGTTATATAAATTTGTGCATCAGCTGCATTGTGTAGCTGTGGTATGCAGATTGTTAATTCAGTAATGACATATTTCAGAAAGATTAATTACATATTTACTAGTTTTAGGGGAGGAAAAGTATTAAAGGAAGATATTAGGGATTAATTAAAATTATACAGGTACATAATATAAATATGTTTCAGTTTTTTCCTCCCCAAAATTACTTTTCCTTCTCTGAACAAGGCCCACTAGCGGCCAAGTGGTAAAATTGCTCAACACTGATAGTTCTGACCTGGGTTCAATTCCAGGCAAACAGGCTGGCTGCATGGACGTTTTTTGTGGTTTTTCCCTATGTGTAACATGTATATGAGCCAATTTGCATTGGAAAGTCCTCCATGAAGGCAATCCTCCTCTTAGGCAGATAGTCCTACTGTGCTTTGCCATAATCTGTCAAACCGAAAACAAACCGTCTCTGACACATAATTTTTAGTTTGTCATTCAATTATTATTTTTAATAAAATCTAACTTGGTTGCATATTTTAAAATTAGATTTGGGAGGGGAAGTGGAAAAGTAATTCGTAGGGTAGTAACATAGGGTACTCATAGGTCAATAGCCATTTTGCTGGCGAACATTGAAATGCACCATTGAAGTTCTGAGCCAACTTAACAGTGCAAAATTTCTCTGGGCACAATACTCTTAATTTGAAATTTCATCTTTATTATTTTACTGCCTGATAGTAGTGGAGTTTTGTTTGTATCACAAGTGACATCTCCTGTTTAAAACAAGTTGAATAAAAAAAGGGTATTTAAAACTTTAATGGAACTTTGTTGTATCCACGTTAGATAGAGCAATAACTAGTTTGTCGGTCCACTAGGTTCTGAAGGACATTTCAGTTAATATTGTACAGTTAGGATCGCTTAAAGTAACATATAGAATTGACATTGAAATAACCTATGGGGGAGGGGGAAGGTCTTAACACCAAAATTTAAAGCAGAAAAAACTTACCGCAAAATGAAATATGTTTCTATGTAGAAAACTCTGGAAACTACTTCTGTTGTAATCTTTATTAGATGAAAAGATCCCACGTGCTAATTTAAACTGCTTCAGTAAATAACATTTTTACTAACCATATGTATATGATTTGCTAAAATCTTAGAAAACCTAGAAGCATTTTTTATATTTAAGACTTTTAAGGAATTAACTAATAATAAATTGCTTTGGTTCTGCAAACTCGATGTTGACGTTAAAAAACTTTCTGTGTTGTTTATATATAGGAAGTGCATGTACTGAGTCTTCAGAGTTCTGGATTTGACGAACCTATTGGAGCCAGGAATGGTTTTTTGCCAAGTGTTTCATTAGATGTACGTCCTCGCTGGAAGCAAAAGGAACATGCTACTTCTGTATTTGTCATACTGCATTCATTAACAGCAGTCATGTGGCAAATGAATTTGCACCACTCTGGAAATAGTACAAGCTTTCATATTATTGTAAGAAATTTCAATTATTGTATTTCTCAAACACTTAATTAAAACACTAAGTTTTAACTTTTTTTGTCATTAATCTAATTATTCCTTCCTAATCTTTTCTCTAACTATGTAATAAATAATCATATTTCTTCTGAACTTCAGTTTGTTTAAGAGATTTAAAATAAAAGCACTAAAGTTAACATGAAATCAAGACAGATTTTACTTACTTATGTACGTGACTGTTGTCATGCAATTTTAAGCATTTTGATGTTGTGAAATCCCACTGAAAGGTGGGAGATTTTTAAATCCATACCCTGAGGAATTTTCTTTCAAAATTGGGACAGATTTGGGAAATTTGTATGATACACATATAAGGTACACAAGCTAATGACAAGTATAACCTGTATGTTTTCACAATAATATTTGTAAAATTTGTGAACTTGATCACATGTTACTTCAGTCAAGGGAGATAAGTCACAACAATAATAATGCTAGTTTTAGCTGTGTAATTTTATGGAACTAAAGTTATAATTTTTTTTTAATATCAAGAAAGATGGAGACTATCTTGCTATTAATGCATTTTTTGTTATGATGGTATCAACTAAATAAATGTAAAATGTGAACATAATCATCATCATTTTAAAATACTAGCTCATTTATTCATTATGAACCATCAAGCATGGTGCACAATGAATAAATTAAATAATTATACAGAGTATTAAGTAAGGGTTACAAGCTTTTTTTCCTCGTATATCATGCCTCCAATTACAAAGTTTTTCAAAGTAATGGTAAGGAAAATTTTATAAAAATTATTTCATCTCTGGAAATCTGCAACCATAAAATCTTATTTTATATATGGTTTCAGTTTATCAAAATTTCATATAGTAATCTTCATTAAGCTTTATCAGGTTAAAAGCTGCATGCTAAATCAATTTGACACATAAAGACTTTTATTATTTTTGCTGATATTGCATTTCCTTTCCAATATACCTGTACATTTCCACCTGTACATTTATGTTTGAAACAAAATGTAACATCTTTTTTCCATCAATGAAAGTTCAAAAACAGTAAACTTATTAAATATTTATCGATTAAAAAACTATTGCAGTTTAATAGAGACAATTTTTAGTAGCTGAAAAACTGTGGACATAAGATGATTGTTAACCATTTGTTTCTTAGCAAAATAGAAAGATACCAGTTCCTTTCTTTACAAAGGTTACTATAAAAGAAAAGCACCTATGTTTGACTTTGAGTGCAGTACTTATGCTTATTACATAAATACCTAGTTGAATGAGTAAAAGGTGAGAAAAAATGACAGTGTGCTGTTGAGTCTTCTGCAGGACCAGAGCTTTGCTATGTTAGAAACATAAAGCTGAAAGATTTCCAGAGCAAAATTGAAAGCAGCTATGTGTCAGTGTAATGAACAAAGCGGTGAGAAATATGTTGCCCTGTAAATTTGTGTGTTAAAGAATATGGTTGTTTGCAACATCTTCTGTAAAAGGATATGTTTTTCACTTTTATAGTAATTTAGTAATTCTATGAGTTAACAAAATAAACAGTAAAATAAAAGTGTAGCTTTTTTAGATTAATGTTCAGGAATTTTTTAATTGCACTGTATCTTATGGAATTCTTGAAGCTGAGATAAAGTGGTATATTTTGCAAATTAGAATGAAAGCCATTTTATTTGAATTAATTAGAGCACAGCTTTTTCAGGCAACACTTTTCTTTGGATAACCCAGAGGAACTATTTTCAACAATTAAAGGTAGAACTAAGTTTGTATCGCTTCATATTATTTAGCAAAAGTACATAATGCAAGGCAATTACATGTGTATATTATTGAAAATAATGAGTTTTCTTTTGATTTATCAACTAGTGCACACATGCAGTTATGTCATGTCATCTTTTAATAAGTAGTGTATAATACTAATCTCTTAGATCCCAGAGATATCATGACTTTCTTTTTGTATACAATATTCTAATGTAGCTTATTTTCACCACAAAATATATATTTACCTGTGAAATATGAAACCGTGAAAAACATTGATAAGTAAAGTTACAGATGGCTTGTTTTCTGGATCCTGTGATTCAGTGTTACTTTTGTCTGCTGTTTTAACTTAGATTTTGATGCATTTCTTTTTAAAATTTAATTAAGATGGGAATTATAATGTGATTTTAATTTTATGACATTTCAGGTTAATAAGCCATCCTATGTAGTTCCTAGCATTGCAGTTGCAACTGTTTCCCGTCAAAAGCTTCCCTCCACAAAAAGATTGCCTGCATGGGTCAGAAGTCACCATGGTGCTGTTACTTCCTTCTCAGTAATACCAGTAGCTAATGAAATAAATTTATACACTGGAACAGGTGAGTTGATTCAGAATTATGGTTTATGTGACTTTAATATAGGAGGTGTGTGAAAAATGATGGCTACAGATTTTATTTCTATAAATTCTGATCCTAAGTTTGTATTTCTAGTTATAAAATTTCAGAAGACAAAATTTCATGAGAATTGTTTCAGCACTGACTCTACAACCGCTTCTTAAATACGTTTTTTTTTTTTTTTTTTTTTTTTTTTTTTTTTTAATGTGGCTGCTATGGAGAAAAAAGTCTGATCAGTAGTAACTTACAGTAGAATTCCGATAACCCATGACTGCTTACTGACTTTTCAACTTTTATAAATTTATAAAATCTATCCCAGGACCGTATTATTATTATTATTATTAAAGAATTTGAAAGAAAATAATTTTTAGATGATTTAATTATTTGAAAAAATTCATGAATATAGTAAAAAATAAAGTAACCATATTTCCTCATATATTTTTCCCCCTCACTTTTTATTGCCAGGTTTTGAAAAATTTTAAAATATTCACGTTATTTTCTCCTATCTCAGTCTGTTCACAGAATAAACTACCCTAAATTTCAAAACCCATGTGGTGATTGTTTTTGTCTTACTACCAGAGGCAAACCCTCACAAACTCCGTATGAAGGTCATGGCAAACTTCACCTTTCTAACTGTTGAATTTTATGCCAGCCTAATACAATAATACAATCACAGTGAACTGTAAATTTTTTCCAGTTTCCCATCTTGAAATTCTATTATACTTTACACTGGCTTTCATTATGAGCCAGATAGGCTGGTTTGTTAATACTGATATTAGCTATGATTTGTGTGTGGTCCAAACCTGTGTCTTCAGTAATTTTTTGTTTAGTGGAAGCATCCAAATCAGCAGAAACACAAAATAAGTCGAGTATCTTGCAAGTTACATTGTAATGTGGGCCTTCCTTACGTATATAAGAAGAATGGAATTTTCGGTGATGACAGTACATAGCTGAAATACAGAGCATTGCATACATGTTCAAACCTGCAATTCTGTCTTTGTACGCAATAATACGCTTGTCTCAGGTCAGTAGAACTAAATAACAAGGAATGGAAAAATTCATTGCAAAATGTTATGCATATTTTCAGATTATTAACCCCTGAAATTGGAAGCTTACACTCACAGCTTGATGATTTAAAATTTGTTGTTAGGGACTGTAGTTTTTAGTTCTTAGTAAACATGACCTGACATTCAATTCACGATTAGGCTGAGTCAGATGTGCATTCACTGTCTCTAATTATTTATAGATGGTTTGAGGCTTTAGCCATGCAGCATAGACAACAGTACTAACACACGAGATTCAGGTTACAGCAAAATAGAAATAGAGATATCTTATTGTATATTGTAATGCTAATATTGCTATGTAATCTTATTGGAATGTAGATTTCTTTTAAGGAAATAATATTAGGGTAGTTACTTGTAGTTTATCCATTACTACTTTTCATTTGTTATGTTCATATTATAATCTCATCCTTTGGAAATTAAATTATTTGCATAATTTTCTTTCTCAGGTTTCAGCCACTAAAATTAGTAAAAAAAGGGAAGGGGGAATTTTCAAAGAAATATGGTATATATGGAGAGAGATTACCCTTGTAATTTTAATTTTTTGATTTGCATGTGAGTACATGTAGTTATAAACATTTCATATAGGTTTAAATTCTTTGTTTATTATGTATCTAGAAATTTTAGCTGGGGCTTAATATTTCATCTTGGCATGATCTATTTTAAGGCAAGGGCCACTCAGACAGTATAATGGTTAGGGAAGCTAAGTTTTGCTGTACTGAAGGGCCCAGGTTTGAATCGGTGTTGCCAGAAATGTTTCAACTAAAGTAGCAAAAGAAGACTAAAAAAGTTGCAAATAATGTCAGAGATCACATGATTTTTGTGACGTCATAGTTATGCATGCTCACATGACGTCTGACATCATTACAAATTTACTGTCTATTGGTTCCGTAACTTATTGACTGTATTCGATTCTTAGTCGTTTTAGTTACGTATCACAGTTTTAATGCAAATTTTAAAACTATATTGCTCATTTTCAATTGTTTAAATATCCATTTCTTTTTTAAATAATTCTGATTTAATTTTTATTTCTAATTCTATTTTAAAATTAATTTGTGCTTATCCATTCTTAAGAAATTCTTCACGTTTAGATTGTTAGCACTTTTGTACTAAATTTTGTCAGTTAGTTTTTTTGATTCATTGATTTTTTTTTCTTGATTGTAAACATGTTAATTGAGGAATGTTTTTCAGTGAGTTTCCCATTCTACAGGTGATCTTATTTCTTTGATTACTTAAGATAGCCTTGCTCTTCCACTGTTAAATTTATTTGTGGTGTTATTTAGAAAAATGCCGTTGCTTTGATTTTTAAGTCACTTCCGTTGCTTAGTTCTTAGCAATATTATTGATCAGAAGAATTAATTTTATTTCTTTCTCTATTTGGGTTCCCAACATATGATGTATTTAAACTTTGTTAAGTGAAACGTATAACAAATGCAATGCAAAGTACCTGTAAGAAAGCTGATATTTCACTATGAATTCAGTGGTACCACCTTTCCCCCCAAAAAACTAAAACTTGTTCTTACAATCATGTAATGCTCTCTAGAAACAGTAAAAATAGGCTGAAATGAATAATACGGTACAGTCAAAAACTATTACTTTGGAAATGAGATGCCTGTACCACATACAGAGAAATCGCACGGAACAGAAAAGCTCAGTCCTGTGATGTATTGACAAAACTGTTAAGTGATAATCCATAATCATCTATAATCTGCTCTCATTTCGGATGTAAACAAAATACAGTCAAAAGTCTTTAATCCGGACGTCCATGATCTGGAATGGTCTATAATCCGGACCTCAAAGCTACAAACTTTCTGCACACATGCATAAACGCATAATGCATTTACGCATGCGCGTTTAATGTACAAAGGACGGTATAAGCTAAGCTAAAATTATGCAATTATCTATTTCAGTTAATGTTGCAGATTGCGTTGTTCATGAATCTTCGAATTGGATCCAGCTTTTTATTTTTGCAGACTGTTAGAGCAATTTTATAAAAAGTAAGCTTGAACTTTCGATTATGTCAAAAAAAGTTCCAATTCTGGAGCTGCCGAAGTATCTACAAAGCGAAAGCATGTTTCGTTGTCCATTAAACAAAAAGTGGAATTGCTGCAAAAAATGGGTAAAGGCATGAAGAAAGTGACGGAGAGGTGATTTGTTTCTCTAACCATTCCAAAATCTGTGTATCAATTTCACATTGCTCTGGGGGGAGGGGAAACGTTGTGGCGCGGAATGAACTGGAAGTTGATCTGTCAGCACTATCCTCATCTTCAGGGCAGATGTTTTTATTTTAATCGGCCTACTCACTAAATTTATTGTTTCATCTCGATGTACTCCAATATAATTTAAATCAATTTCCTTGTCATTATAAATATCACGAATACACATCAAATAGTTTTCTGTTTGCAATTTTCTAATTTCGACTATGCGTAATGTATGCTTTACGCATGCGGGCATTGAAAGAAATGTTTTTTTTTGTAAATTTTGATGCTAAAGCAAGGTTTAAAGTTTAAAGAAATTAAACATTTAGCAGTAGTAACAATAAAAGCTCCCTGAGATATGTTGTGCAGACATTGAAGACAATAAACGATTTTGAACTTAACCAATTTAATAACAATATAATAAAGAATAAAAACACAAAAAATAAATGTCAACAATATTAGAGTCTTAGAAAAAATATAATATAACCATCATTCATCAAATATTTTTACCTGGTCTCCAAAACACTGGCATTCTATACAAACAAAAGTGTCCTAAACAGTAATTATGCGGCCTAAAGCTGGCTACCCATTCAATAAGTCCATAATCAATGGTCAAGAAAAACACCTGAAAATTTAAATGAAGTTCTTGAAAGCACTTAAAACAGGCCTAACCCCGTTTGCACAAGGAGTCACCGCTCACGTATTTTTAATTGGCGTCTTTATTGAAGAACATGGATGCCGCCCACGGCAGTCACTCACATGGTAGCCTCTGGAACCGAAGAACTTTAATCTGGAACCATCATCTCGCAAACCGGAATCAAGGCATTTTATTCACCGGACTGCATGCATCCTTTTGAAGGGGCTGGAAACCGCTCACTCAAGTGCCGGGAAAGCAGGAACTAGAAGTGTTGAGCCAGAGCGACGCGAGATACTTATAGCAGAAGTAGGAATGACGTCATCTCACGGCAACCAATCAGCTAGCTGCACAAATCGGCTTTTCAGATGACGTAAATCATGTTTCGTTTTTGCATCTCAATTAGGTTGAAACAGTCCGTTCTCAATGCAAACAGTGGCAGCAAGAAAAAGAAGTAGAAGTAACTACTATATTACATTAAAATAAGGACTAAACTAAATAAACATTTCAAGGAGGAGAGATGATGCAGTAAAAAGGTTTAAAATAAGCTATATTTTCCAACAAATGCCCCCCACATCATCATCTCCGACCTGAAATAAAAACCGAATGCCAGTATCTTTACAAAATTCAAAACAAGAATAATTAAATATCACAATTTCATTCAATTCAGAAATTTTTAAGGAAAAATTTTTCTTTGGGAAAATCTTATCCCATTATTCAAAAATTTTACCGTAGCAAGAAAGTCCAACATGTTACAGAACAATACAAAGACATATATATAATCACACACTCAATACTTTTACCCAGGGCTCTGGTCACTCATACAACATTCTACACTATACAATTTTACATTTACCTAATATCCATCATAATATGACTTATAACATATTTTCAAATTAACAAAACTCTTAATTTAAATACACACAAAAACAAATTTCATAAGAAAATTGTTCCACAAAATCTTATCAGGTTATGCTTAGTCAGCGGTTTTGTCATGGGATCAGCCAGATTATCTTTACTTGGGACATATTTTAAATCAAAAATTTCCCTGTTCAATAGATCACGAATGAAAAATAGTTTCACATCTATATG